TGGGAGGCCAAGGCGGAGCAGATCATGAGGTCAGGAGTTCGAGACCAGTCTGGCCAACAGTGAACCTGTTCTCTACTAAAAATACAAAAAATTAGTCAGGCGAGGTGGCGGGAGCCTGTAATCCCAGGTGCTCAGTAGGCTGAGGCAGAATTGCCTGAACCCAGGAGGTGGAGGTTGCAGTGAGCTGATATTGAGCCACTGCACTCCATCCTGGGCTACAGGGTGAGACTCCATCTCAAAAAAAGAAAACAGACTACCGGAAGGAGACCTCCTTCAAGTAGATTTCACAGAAATGTCCAAAACAGGGAGACTAAAGTATCTACTGGTAACGGTGGACCACCTCTCTGGCTGGGTGGAGGCCTTCCCCCTCCCAACTGCCACTGCCAGGAACGTGGTCAAAATAATCTTAGAAGAAATTATACCCAGATTTGGCCTGGTGGAAAGTATTGATTCAGATGATGGGCGCCACTTTACCTCGAGGGTGCTAAGGGGAATTATGGAGGGTTTACTCATTGGATGGGATTACTATACCCCTTGGCATTCCCCTTCCTCTGAAAACATAGAAAGAATGAATCAAACTCTCCAAAACCATCTTATTAAACTAATCTTAGAAACTAAAATGCCTTGGACCAAATGTCTCCCAACAGCTCTCCTTAGGATTAGGTCAGCCCCAAGGAAAGACTTGGCATTGATTGTCCCCTTATGAGTTATTCCATGGACTCCCACATTTAGGTAGGACTATGGACCTTCCTACTATGGAACCCAAAGAGCAATTGTTAAGAAATTCTATACTGGCCATATCCTCCACCCTGTCATCCCTTAGGCTGAAAGGACTTCTGACTCACAGCCTGCCCCGTGAGTTCACGGTTCACCATATCCAGCCTGACGACTCAGTGCTAAAGGAGACAAGCTCCACCTGAGCTGGAAAGGCCCCTATCAAGTGCTCCTGACCACTGAGGCAGCCGTACGAACAGTTGAACAGGGGTGGACACATGACACACGGTCAAGAGACTGGTAAAGAACCCCCGGAAGGAAGGGAAAAGGGTGAAGGGGACGTGTATAGATCACCGAAGGAACCCTTCGGCTAACTCCAGAAAAACCTCGAAGGAAAATATGAGCAGGCTCTGTCACTGGGGGTGGATGTGGTTAGGATTAAGCCTCCTACCGGGGTGAGAGGGTTCACAATTATTGGATGGAGCCGGAGGAAGAAGAAGATCCAGTCCAACTAAGAGTTGGCATAGCTAGAACCTCCACCCCCCAGACCACAAAGTTCGATGCCTGCCAAGTATTCCATGGTGGGTATTTAGGGAAACAAAGGCAGCTGTCACGAGCAAACATGCGTGTCCTGAAACCGTCACCACGGGGAAAGCCCTGCGCCAGCTGGAATGACGCCTAATGGACCACCCATTTCAAGGCTGGGTGAGCCATCGTTCCAAAAACAAACCCTTGAAGAATAAAATGCATTTGCATAAGGGCCTCACGCCACCTAACTGTGGAAATTTAGAATGCAATCCTGGATTAATTAACATCAACCAGCTACTCTAGACCAGGAACCTTGGTGGTATGGACTAGGAATAAATATTTCAGGAAAGGATCCTGGGGAACGGTTAGTTTTTAGGGACGTCACCATCTCCATCCCAAGCCCACCCAGGATTACTATAACTCCTGGTCCCACTACCTCCTTCAACCTACTGGACAATGATACCAAGAGAGTAAAAATAATTAAGGTAACTGACTTGAGGCAGACTTTAGAAATCGAGACTGGATACGGGGATGCAAATGCCTGGGTTGTATGCGTCAAATTTTCAGTACTAGCTCTTAATAAGAGCGACGGTTACCCTGCTCGGCTGGATGGCCTCAGGCAGATGTGGTTCCGTTTCCCCAGGATGGGATGCCAATCCCAACGCAATGCGCTGCATGTTGGCTGTACGCCAGGACGGGGATACGTGGCGCACTGGGACCTGCAAGTCTATCTTTGCTCTTTCCCGCCTTGCGGAGATCAGATCCTAGAGCAGCCCCTCACTCTCCTTAGGTTGCCTCTCTAGGCAGGGGGCAGAGTTCAACAAGCCTGTGAGAGAACTCTCAACTTGTACCCACATCCTAAACACCATTGGCGAGTCAAACAAAGGCAACTGCTTGGCTTTTTATACAGCCCGGGCTGATGTCTGGTGGTATCGAAGAAAGAGCTGCCTCCATGACCTGCTACCGTCCAATTGGACCAGGACTTGTACCTTAATTCAAGCTGCCATTCCATAAGGGCCCTGAGAATCTACATGGCCACTGACATCGGAGATCTAACAAATCCTTTTGATCCCAACGTTCATGCTGACTCCACAGGAGTCGTAGAGGACTACCTAATCAATTTAAGGCCCCAAAGCAAACAGCTGCCGGGTTTGTGTCCGCACTCTGCTGCTGGTCAACTATTAATAAAATGTGCATTGGATCTATTACCTCTATTATAATTCAACAAAGACTCATCAACTGTACTGGAGACACTCTCAAAGGAGTGGCTAGCCAGTTAGACACCACCAGCCGAATGGCCTGGAAGAACAGACTTGCACTAGACATGACTGTGGCAGAGAAAGGGGCATATGCATCATGCTGGTGGAAAGTGTCGCACCTTCATTCCTAACAATACTGCCCCAGATGGAGCATCACAACAGCATTACGAGGGTTAACAACTTTAGCCAATGAGTTGGCAGAAAATGCCAGAACTGATGACCCATTTACTGACTGGCTAGAGAGCTGGTCTGGGAAAAGGAAAGGAATGGTAGCCTCCATTCTGCCATTCCTTATAACAGTGGCTGGGGTCCTAACAGCTACAGGGTGTTGCATTATCCTGTGTTAAAGGGTTAACCCCAAAATTAATTGAAACAGCCATCAACAAATGGCCATGACATATCAACTATTGTAAGAAACCAATCAGATCTACTCTCTCACGATGAAGAGTCAACAGCTCCTGAAACAATTTCAGGACCAAAGGACACAAAAATAAATGTGGAAATGGGACCAGTGGGAGTAAAAAGAGGAGGGAATTGAAGGAACTAGTGTCTGCAGTGGTCCATTTCCAAGACAAAGGGCCCTGAATCGGCTTCGGTCAGTAAACTACAGAAGAAATGGGATCCACTAGGCCCCTCTTGGATAGCCAATGCCTGCCCGTCACTGCCCCACACCCCCACCCACCGCCCCTCTTAGTTGCCCTCACCCGAACCAAGGAAGTTTAGTCTAAGATGAAAATTTACTAGCCTGCAAAACAGCTTGTTGTTTGTTCTCATCAGCCTGCCCATCTACTCAGGTCATAAGTCAAATACTTGAAGAGCCCCTGAGCTAGGTAGGATTGCAATGTACTGTGGGCTGCGACAAAATGCAGCAGGACAACCCTAAAAAAACACCTAAAGCCCCTGCCCCACCATGAACAGGCGACGTCTGGGAAGATGTGACCCCACAGTACTCAGCCTGTGAGGAGCCAGGGGAGGGGCCTGTGCACTGGGGGATAAACTGCTTGTTGTAACTGTGCTGGGTGTGCCTGCCCACAAGATGCCTGACCTTGCAAAACCATCATTAAAGTCCCACTTCCACTGTCCTCTGGGTCTCTGAGTCCATTCTTTGGGTTTGGATGGGTGAGTTTGTTTCCGGCATGGTGAATAGTGAGTTGGCCATGTCACAACACAGGTTCCACCTTTCCTGATAGGTCCCAGAAGCCTCATGTGAGGATGGGGATCTCTGGAAGTGCCATTTATGACTTCAGAGGCTGTAGCCACAGCTGCAGAAAGTCTACCACTCTGAGGGATTGCCTCTTTTAAAGACTTGTTGCCACGGTAATAAAATTTATATTGACATCTGTCTTCTGAACGGTATAAGCACAGTTACCAAGCTTCTTCATTAAGCCTGAAGACCTCTGGAATTTCCTGCTTCTCCCTTTATGCATTAAGGTAACAGAAACCTCAGGGGTCTGCCGGATCCCTTACTCCAGGGCTGAGGTTATCCGTTCATTAGAAGTGACAAGTGTGTAACAGGAGCCAGGACAAAGCAGGTCCCTGTGACCAGTGCCACAACCTAGATGTCAGCAGGAAAGAAAAAAGAGCAAGACCAGCACTGCCCTAACAGCAAACACAAGGAAAATGCAGAGTTTATAACATAAGCAGCCACTATACATCTAAATATGTAGCTTTTGTAACAGCACTCAAAAACGTCAATCTGGCCAGGCGCAGTGGCTCATGCCTGTAATCACAGCACCTTGAAAGGCTGAGACAGGCAGATCACCCGGTCTCAGGAGTTTAAGACCAGGTGGGGCAACACGGTGAAACCCCGTCACCACTAAAAATACAAAAAGAAAGTCAATGAATATCATAACCATGTTCCAGACACTATGCTTTCACGTTATTCATTCTTACAAGAACCAGTGAAAATATGACCATTCCCACGCTCCAGATTAAACCAAATGAGGTTTAAGGAAATTCTGTGAGTCCAGGCAGTGACAAGGACTGCAGGGGGAACCTTCAACTGTCGGACATCAAAGCTGTGCCCTCACAGAAGCTTTCTCTGGAAATCACAGGGACAAGACAGCATCTCCTGCAGACTGACCTGGAGAAGGGCTGGGCACAGAGTAAAACCAGTGTGTAACAGGAGCAAAATCATGGCTGACAACAGTTTTTAACTGTTAATGTTGCCTGGTTTTCTTTAAGGTTTTGTGTTTTAATTGAGAGACCAAGGGTGTATGGCAGCAGTTTCTTCCACCGGTTCTGTGAGATGAACTGCAGAGAAGAGAACAGACACGTGCATCTACATAGACGTGCTACTCCCATTGGCTGGTCCCCATCATCAACTTCCCATTTTGTGTGATGGGCATATAAAGCCATGAGTGAACCTTTCCTCTATTTCATCTTAGAATTCATCGCTTCCAAAGAGAAAGAAGCCTACAAAGCAAGCCCAGGGGCAGGTTCCCATTTCTGTCTACAGGGGACCGGTGGACACAGAGCCTGAGGGGCAGCCCCACTTACTTGAAGGCTGGGGATTCTAAAGACCTCTTCCAAATGGCACAGACCACTCTGACTCAAGTCTAGAATCGGTGAGGAGGAAAAAATGATCCCTCCAACACCCTTGTGAACGTCTTTGGAGGGGGCGGCAGGCAAGCTCCTAGTTTGACCAGCATCCTCCTCCAGATCAGCAGCGGCTGCAGAGGGAGCTCTGTAGGAGCCGCTTCCCTCCATCCGTTCTCCTCCAGGGAGAGCAGCTCATCCTCCTTGGTCTGGAGTCACCTGGAGACATAGGAAGGGGAAATGCAGAAACAACTAAGTATACCGAGGCAAAGCGGAATAGCTGTGTGGCAGGTCCACGGTGATTCAGCTTGCTTTAAAAGCTATCGTTTTTAGCAAAAGTTTGACTTTTAAATGAGAAAAAAAAAAAAAAAGAAATACAAAGAGGTTCCAATTAAAATTCTCTGCTCTCACTCTGTACAACGGAGTTCCAAGATTTAACTCCTGGAAACGCAAAGGTGCACAGCAGGAAGATCATGTCAGGGACGTCAACAATGAGAACATCTGGAAGCCTGTAAACCAACTGCGATGCTTCCGTGAAATGACTGGGGCAGGCGGTTCCTTATCAGTGTGCAGTTTCTTGCCTCTGCTGTGTTCTGGGCCATTTGAACTATGTTTTTAGTTCCTTGAGGCCAGGAAGCCTGTCTTTTGTTTATCCTTTTGGCCCAGTGACCAGCACTGCCTGGCTAACACCCAGTTAAGCATCAGGGAAAGCCTGTTGAATTAAGAATCTTGAATTTTCATTGTCCAGCAACCCTTTTTCTCACAAGTATTGTTCATCAAAACCTCATTCAGCGAGGCACACTTTCAATTTCCAAACAACTTATTCGGCAATGAGAATCCACGTAGGAATGCCTCAGCTCGACTACGTAACTCAAATCACTCAACAGCCCAGTGACTGGCATATGCGTGCACTTCACTCCCTCTTTAGGGAGGAGGCTGAGGCGCAGATGAGTTAACTGCTAGAGGGGTGCAGTTAGCTGCGGGATAGAGGCGCCAGTGGGACCCGGCAGGGTTCGACCCCAGGCGGCCTGCGTTCCATAGAAGGCTGCGGGCTTTTTCACGGTCAGTTCACTTGTTGTCTCCGAATCACAACCACGTAACTTTAAAAAGAGGAGGAGAGGCTTCAAACCTCAGAACAGGGAGAATGTCTTAAAACCAGAACTGAAACAGCAGCGCGGACTTCACACAGGGCCCAGGCAGCGCCGGGCTCCGTGGGGCTTCCCAGGCTGCCTTCAAGCAACCCCGACGCACGCCCACCCCCGTTCCCTGCCTCGGTTTCCCCATCCGGGCGAGGCTGAGTGGAATCCGACGCTCTGGGCTTCACATTCCAGGCCTGAGAGGTGCAGCCCCTGCCGGCAGCATCCGGGCGGGAGCTACGCTACAGGGCGCGAGGGGCCAGGCACCGCCTTCCCCCCGCCGTCCCTAGGAGGGCCCAGCGAGCCGGCCGTCCCCGCCCCGCCTCACCTTCGGGGCCCCCGCCCACCGGAGCGCGGGCGAGCCCCGCAGCGGAAAGCGGCAGCCCGACAGTGGAGGCAGCCCGGCCCACGCGGTCGCCATGGAGACCTAGTACGGAAGCCCGCAGGCACCACGCCGCACGCGGGTGTTTGTGCGTGGTGCGCCTGCGCATGGGTGGGTGTGGTGATTTTGTGTGTGTGTGTGTGTGTGTGTGTGTGTGTGGTGCGCCTGCGCATGGGTGGGTGTGGTGATTTTGTGTGTGTGCGTGTGTTTGTGGTGCGCCTGCGCATGGGTGGGTGTGGTGCGCCTGCGCACGGGTGGGTGTGTTGCGCCTGCGCATG